TCACGTCTGACCAATCTGCAGCTGCGCAACCTAGAAAAGTTGCATTTGAATAGAGCACCCCTCCGTGCTTTATTCGAATTACAGGCAAAAACACAGCAGAACTCAGAAAACAGCGCGCATTAGGCAAGGCTCAACGACAATGCTCTGTAAAACTCAGCGTGCACAGCACGGTAGCTGCCCAGCGAAACTCGACGTAGTTGTTTACTGTCGAAGTTGCACAGAAAGCAGAAATACACAAATGTACTTTATCTCGCAGCGAGAATGCACAGTTGTGCCTCCGATGGCGACCACGGTAGGCATGATGACAACGACCACCAAGAAGAGCGGCACGTTGGCCTTGGCCGCCACGAGGAGCAGACTGTCGTGATCTGGATGTAGGAAACTTATCATGATGGGAAAGACAATGAGCTTGATGAAAAAGCATGAATTGGAAGCACCTGGGTCACTCGCAATCCGCCAGACTGCGCCAGTCACCGCCTGCAATCCTACCATTTGGAGAAGGTGAGCCGTTTCCGCCCCCCGTTCCTACTTGCTCTCTCTCTCTCTCTCTCTCTCTCTCTCTCTCTCTCTCTCTCTCTCTCTCTCTCTCTCTCTCTCTCTCTCTCTATCTTAGGTGATCTCAACCTGTTCAACAAATTGGTGATATCATGGACGATCGTTCGCAAAGGCACTATACCTTAGACCACAACATTGTTTGTGCCAAGATAATCATGACGTAGCAAAGTCACGACCGAGATAAGTACCCCAATTGACTAGCGATACCGGGCTCCAAAGTGCTAACAACCACAACAAGCAGCGCGAGGATCTCGAGAGGCAGCACGATCCCCTGTCGATCCACGTGCATGTGTGTGGATGAATCCTCGCCTAGGACTTTGGAAAGGTGTTCCCTGTTCCGCCCACTGAAGGTGCAATTCGAAAGTGAATCTTCCTCCGGATTACGGAAAGATACACGCAATCACGAGGCACCACCTAATAGAAATCTTGACTACTTCCGTGCTGGCGGACACAGCCACGAGCAGCGCTTGGATAAGAAAATCGCCATGAGTCCACGACCACGGTAGCAAGCATGAAACATGCAGCCCGACGCCTTCATGTGAGATGATGACTACGAACACTGTTGGGGCTGAGATGACGACTGTGACGCTGGGCACCGTTGACATCGAGATGACAACCGTTCTGGCGATGAAGACGACTATGAGGATGAGTGCATGGATCGTGAGTTGGACATCAGCTTCACAAAGTAAGTGTCGGGATCACCCCACTACTTCACCAAATGTGCAAAAATGAGAATGAATCTGCCGCTAGAACATGGGAAGGTACATTCCCTTTTTCTGTTCCCTTTCTTGTTCACCCCACTCGTACTCTCCTTCGATCCGATCCCTTCTCCCACCTTTCTTCCTATTGCCTGCTACCTACCTCCACCTTGCTCAAACTTACGTTCAGTTATCAACGAATTTGGTCGAGATATCAGCCATACTATGCATGTATACCACAGGGCAATGGAAAGGTTGCATCTCTCATCACATGCTTTGATGGTGACGAGGCAATTAGAGCGTGGGCCTTTTTTTTTTTTTTTTTTTTTAGAGTAAAAAGCATCGTGAAGTTTTTTTTTTTTTTTTTTTTTTTAAGCGAACCCAGTGCCCAATAAGGTGGCACCTTTGTAGGGAATACTGAGTAGTTGATGTAAACCGGGCTCAGAGTGTTATGACGTATCATGAGAATGGGCTCTGGGTCAGGGTATGGGAACACGGTCCCGATAAGGTGGGACATGGTATGGGAATATTTTGCGTAGACATGTGTACGAGAATACGGTCTCACCACGGTGACACATGGTATGGGAATGTTTTTGGTCAGGACATGCGTATATGGTACATAAATGATCTCTCTGTTGGTCTCCCTAGGACCTTGCAACGTTTTTTGTTTTGATTTGTTCTCGAGCTCGTGGTTTGTGGTTTGGCAGACTAGTGAGTTTCAGTCCCAGGGTCTAAAGTTTCGCGGGTCTCAGTCCCGGCTTCTGCTCGTTTGTTTGTTTTCTGTTTTTTTGGGTATATGGTAATGACTCGAACCTGTGACCTATGTGACTCTTTTGGCATGCGGGTGTCAGTCCCGAGGATCATTACTTGCTTAGGACAGACCGCAGTTTTTCTTGAGGTCAGTTGTTCGAAGCTTGGCGGATGAAGTAGGAGTGTGCTGTTTTTTTCAGTGTTGCAGGGGGCGGTTTTTCAAACTCCCATTATGAGGATATCAGTGGTTCTACGCAATACACCAGATATAAATAGAGAGGTTTAGACTTGTCTATTACCTCACGACCGACAAGACCCCTGAGGAGTGCCGGTGGCGGCCGGCCGAAACTAGTCGGGTCAAATTCCGCCTGGTCACTATTGTAACATTTTTTCGAGTCGCGTTTGGGAGACTATTTTGCATCTTGGTGTACTTGGCTTTCTTCTTGGTTCACACTCTTTTCTCTCTCTCTCTTCTCTCTCTCTCTCTCTCTCTCTCTCTCTCTCTCTCTCTCTCTCTCTCTCTCTCTCTCTCTCTCTCTCTCTCTCTCTCTCGCCGGAGCGGTATCT